CTAAACTGGGTTATTGACAGTGACAGAAAGATGATTAAAGTTTCAAAATATTTCAGTGATATGGGTAAATCTAGCAGTTGGGTATTAATCTATAATTACAGATCCTGTGTCCTTGTTTCAAAGAAAATTTCAAAGAAAGTAATGTATACAACAACTAGTTGTGAGTTGGAATGGGTCTGAAGATGCCATTCACGATTATTGGAGTGAGTGAGTGAGTGAGTGAGTGAGTGAGTGAGTGAGTGAGTGAGTGAGTGAGTGAGTGAGTGAGTGAGTGAGTGAGTGAGTGAGTGAGTGAGTGAGTGAGTGAGTGAGTGAGTGAGTGAGTGAGTGAGTGAGTGAGTGAGTGAGTGAGTGAGTGATACTATTTTGCCTAATGATAATGACATCTAATAATTCAGAGCTAAAGGTTACACTTCCTGAACATAACCTATTATTGAACCACATTTCCTCAGTTAAAAGGGCATGGATAAGCCAACTTATCTAAGGTGCTGGGGCGGTGGGGTAGCCTAGTGGTTAAAGCGTTGGCTCGTCACGCCAAAGACCCGGGTTCGAATCCCCACATGGGTAAAATGTGTGAAGCCCATTTCTGGTGTCCCCCGCTGTGATGTTGCTGGAATATTGCTAAAAGCAGCGTAAAACCAAACTCAGTCAGTCAGTCAGTCAGTCAGTCAGTCAGTCCGTCAGTCTAAGGTGCTGTTTTGGAGAGTTGCTTCCCCTAGTCTCACCAGAAACCTATGACTGTGGGTTTGAATTTCTTGCCCTATTATTTTCCTGGTATGTAAGCACCATATTCTTTGGTAATCAGAAAGGTATCACTTCAGACTCTCCTACAACACTGAGCAGGCATTCTATGATATAACCAGAATACTGTTAAACACCACATAAAAACCACCTCACTCACCCACTCCTTGGTTAAACCACAAACAAATATATGAACATGAAACTCCTAGCTGAGTAAATGTCGACCTCACTGACTGACCCAAGATGCCCTGAGAATCACATTTTCAAGTCTGTGTGGTTTTCCCCCTTCATTGTGTCATTTTCTATCCAGGTATAGGTTTCGGTTTACATAGAATCTAGATCATGTTCAGGGTGGAGATAGCTAAATATCAGGGGTCTGGTATTCAGCTGTGGGAGATGAAATAAGACTGTGTCAAGATCAAACAAAATGGACACAGTAAACTATGTTTACGACGAACATGCACGAAACAGACAGTTTTACCTGTCCCACTAGTCTGTCGTACAGACCCTGAAGCAAATATATCCAAGAAAGCCCACACAAGTCTAGAAAATGTGGCAAGTCTAGATTTCCTCAGCTTCTGAAAATGAAGAAAGTCTCAGGGCTCCTTTTCATTATATTTTTATTTTTTTTACTATGAACTTTTTTCAGTAAAATATGTTCATTTCAGAGACTAGTTGTTAGTCTACTGTCCCACTTGCTTCATGCTTTAGTTATAATGAACTAAAGCTGGAACTAACTTGAAAACGTTATCCCTTTGAGTCTGTTATTACTGTACTTACTATATAAATAATTGGTAATATCATCCTTCGTCACTTTAATTTCATCCTCTGAGTAGCAATGTAGTGTTGGTGATTAGCATGCGGAGCAGCAAGTAGTTGCATGCATAACACAGTTATTAGGGATGCCACAATACATCGATACATTGATACTTTTTCTAAGACGATACAATTATCGATACATTCTAAACTGTATTGATATTTAGTTTTGAAAGTATCTGTTTAAATATGTTTATGTATCATTTACATTTTGTAATTGTATCATGTTTTTTGATGCTATGAGAGTTATAAATGATTATTTTTCATGCACAAAGATGGGAAATGATAACTTTTTAATCTCTGAGAATCAAAAAGGTTGATCTTTTCATGGACAATTATAAAATATGAAAAATTAATGTTCAAAATGTAACTAAACTTATGCAATAATGCAACGAAAATAGGTATCGTAATATGTATCGTATCGTGACATGGGTATCGTGATACGTATTGATTCATGAAATGTATGCATCGTGACTTCCCTAACAGTTATACACCTTGTCTTGACTTGTTGCTGTAGATTGGTTTGATACACATCATTTCGAGTGGCCTGTGCTTTAGGTATTCAATACATTATCACATATCTGTGTTGAAATAACTGGGCTATAACAAATTGATTGAACCATACATGAAACTGTTTTACACATAAAGCGTGTTTGCTGAGTTTGACTTAAGGCACACCTGAAATTGAAAATTGCATTTAAGGTGAGGGGTATTTGTCTGTTTTGTTTGACTTTATGCATAGAAAATGTGTTCTGTCAGACATATTTGTTTATCATGGTTGACAATTTTTTTTAATATTGTACAACATTAAGATAATGGTTCATTTATTCTGACTAAACAGAATTTGAAAATGGCTGTACTTGAGATGATATGGAATAAAAGCACAGCTTGACGTCTATGTCACTTTATATCATGAACTCTGTCACCTCAAGGTAGCCGCATATACTCAGTCACCTCATATTATTACTATAATTTATTGATCAGCTGTTGACTTGTCAAGTTCAACGTCAATAGTTAAACCTCCAAGGCAAACGCTGGTTTCCAAATAAAGGGAATTAAATTACATACGGCAGTAGCTTTTGATACATTAACTAACATTCCAGTTCCACTTTATACCAAACATTCCAGATAAAAGATAACACCGTAATTCAGAATATTTACTAAACCCCAAACACAATACACATTGCATGTCAACAATATATACAGCATGTTGCATGTCTTTCTTTATACATGTTAGGGTCTAGGGAGGATCAATATGTTGCCCTGAATGAGCATAATCTTAGATGCAGTCACTGTTGAATTGTCCCCAGAATGAAGTGATGTGATACTTGCAATGGAGACCTATATTGGTTGTAGATACACTGTGAATAATCGGGAACTCTATTAAAACAATGAAGCAGTTATGCGATGCAGTGTGGTTTTACCGAGACTGCCTCTCAGACCCTCGAGATTATGGTATTTTCTTGAGTAGTGCACATCGTTTAAAAAGAAAACACAACCATGAATTAAATTTAAAACAGAATCGAAATCACGTCTGGGCTGGTTAAGAAATTTAAATCAGGGCACCAATTGGAGTTTGCCGTTTATATTGTTGATACTTGGCACATATGTTTTAATTAGATAACTTTATTTCTGGGATAAATGTTAGTCTAGGTTTTACCCACTTTTCTGACAGGGGACCCCTCTAAACTGGAGCAGAGGTCCTGAAGGTTCAGTCAGGTCCAATCATTGTTCCCATGTACTGTTGTATCCATGTACTGTTGCATTCATGTACCATTGTATCATTGTACCCCATGTACCATTGTACCTATGTACTGTTGTATTCATGTACCATTGTATCCATGTATCATTGTACCCCATGTACCATTGTACATATGTACTGTTGTATTCATGTACCATTGTATCCATGTATCATTGTACCCCATGTACCATTGTACCTATGTAGTGTTGTATTCATGTACCATTGTATCATGTATCATTGTACCCCAAGTACCATTGTACCTATGTGCTGTTGCATTCATGTACCATTGTATCATTGTACCCCATGTACCATTGTACCTATGTACTGTTGTATTCATGTACCATTGTATCCATGTATCATTGTACCCCATGTACCATTGTACATATGTACTGTTGTATTTGTGTACCATTGTATCATTGTACCTCATTTATCATTGTACCTATGTACTGTTGTATCCATGTATCATTGTACCCCATGTACCATTGTACCTATGTACTGTTGTATTCATGTACCATTGTATCCATGTATCATAGCACCCCATGTACCATTGTACCTAAGTACTGTTGTATTTGTGTACCATTGTATCCATGTATCACTGTACCCCATGTATCATTGTACCTATGTACTATTGTATTTGTGTACCATTGTATCCATGTACCATTGTACCTATGTACTGTTGTATTCATGCACCATTGTATCCATGTATCAGTGTACCCCATGTACCATTGTACCTATTTACTGTTGTATTCATGTACCATTGTATCCATGTATCATAGCACCCCATGTACCATTGTACCTAAGTACTGTTGTATTTGTGTACCATTGTATCCATGTATCACTGTACCCCATGTACCATTGTACCTATGTACTATTGTATTTGTGTACCATTGTATCCATGTATCATTGTACCTTATGTACCATTGTACCCCCAAACAGACCTCTGCTGTGTAAATCAAGTACAGTCAACATAAAGATATCACTCTTCCACAATGAAAATAAGTAATAAAACAGCTAAAACAGTATTCCCTGAATATAGCAAACTTTAAAGAAAGCTTCCTGATTCAACACAATGAACTGTAACAACATCACTGACTTGGCCAGGAAGAATTAGCTTTCATCAGCTCTCTTCAACAAGGAAACAAGTAAACGAAACGCTGTCCATTGTAAACTACCGGTAGTTGAATCACTTCTGAAGACAAAAACTTGCATCTATCCATTCTCCGGTTGTCACAGCAACAGTGAGTCACGCTGTCAATCATATTGTGAAATACATAATTTCCCTGAATTTGTATAAGGTTCATTGTGCAGATATAAATTTACAGTGACCCTCTTCAGTGCAAATATTAAAGTGTTGATACTAAAAATAACAAAATTTTATTGAAGCTGTGCATGTTTTAAAATATTCAGCATTTATAATGTTAATCATTATATGAAGTTTTAGATTAACATTTGTATTACATATGAGTCCAGGACAAAAGTATTTAAAATTGAAACCAATATCAAGGCTTGTTAGGTCAATGTCTGTCGTTTAAATGTTTTTAGGCAAAGGGTAAAACTATATAAAGAAATAAAAATATGAATTTGATTTAGTTGTGCTACTGTTATATTCATTAACAGCTCTGTCTCTAGCAACAGAATATATCTCTCACAGCAACAGATCAGTTTACGATGTCCCCATATTATACAACGATGACATAATTACCTTGAATTTGGAAGGCAGGTAATTTATCCGTCTTGTCAACCTCCGTCTCCCTCCAGGGGTAGGGGGTGCCTTCCTGGGGGTTAAGGCAGAGGGGGACCTGGTGGGGTCGGGGAGCTTATCCATAGAGCTCCACCAGTTGGATAAAGGAGGTCATTTGTACTGCGTTCAGTGCTGGTGAAGATCCCCTGATACTGTTACTTGTTGGGACAGCTCATTTATTAGTAGGGGTGTTAGGTTGTAGCCTCAGGCGACAGTTGTCTCATTTATTGTTTTGGTCTGTTTGGTGTCACTTCCCATTATGGGAGTAGTAACCTTGAGCATGTGACCTTTAATTTATTAGAAAATATATAATTTTTAAATTTTTCTATTAAATGATACTGATGAAAACCACATCTTTGCAGCATCCCAAATGAAATCGTACAAATTCTTAACTATGAGCCTGGGGTAGAAATTCAATCCGTCAGTTCAAACAGAAACTACTTGCATGGTTTATTAATCAGTTTAATGCATTGAAAGCCATTGGGAAACTGTCATATCCCAATGATATGGATTATGACACATGACGAATATATGAAAACAATAAAATCATGCAGGAATTCAAAAAAATTTCATGATATATCTACAGTTCTGAAATATGTCAAAACCAATTGAATATTTCTAGAGTATCTGTTTACAGTTAATACCATATCACCAGAAGCTGAAAATTGTTGATATGATTAATAAAAGTCATTTCTAACCACAGATGTAGTTTTAGATGAAGCTACATCACTCAAATGACAAAAAGGTCATCGGTTAAACATATTTGACATGGTTGCCTCAGGAGAAAATGTACATAAATCGGTGGTTGGTATTTAGCGGATAGTTTTATCAGAACCAGTAACTGGGGCCCATCCATCTCTGACATTTCAAATACTGGCCTCCTGAATAATCAGATAGTAGATACTAGATACAGGTTGAAATAGAAATGTATGATTTTGAAAATCAAAAAATGAAAATAGACAGGTCAAAGTACATGTAACCAAAAAATATGTTAAAGAATTACATTATTTTTGTTATTTTACTGTTAGAGAAAGAAGAATGAATTTTAATCTATCGTAGATTTATTTTGTCTGTAAATTGTCTCCACACAAACCAAAAAGTTTGGTAATTCCAACAAATCCAATAACATTAATCTAAGGACTAAATTTAAACATGGTCTACTTAATAAATTTGCGACAAAATCCAATCAAACAAATTCCCTTACCTTAAATCTCATTCTTGACCCAAGTTCCAAAATTTCAAACAAAATGTCAAAAAGAGGCAGCACCAACAACACACTCACATGCAACAACAATTATAAACAAATGTGTTTGGGTTTAAATTCCTATCAAATACTCTACATTCTCTGTAGGAGAAGAATCACTCCAGCCATGAAACAACCTCTAAAAGAACTGCAATCAGCTTTCACGAGTGCTAAGTCAGCCCAAATGGTCAAAGCCCAGTGGCTATTCATAATCTTCTCCCAAGCACAAAGGTAATATCACATATAATGTTATCAACAAGAGGACTCTACACAGGATCTCATCAGAACAGATCCCCTTGAGGAAGATTTCCACCTACGCCGGTTATTTTGGGATCCTCACGTTAACGACCATCATCGACAAGACGAGCCATTTTGTTTTCAGAAAGGACCATCTTCAGGTCAGCTGACAACTACAAAAGGAAGATGGACATTTTAGGGCAAAAATCTGCATCCATTATTTTGTAAAAGACTTGTTGTTTTCGTTAGGTACATTGTCAACACGAGATCTATTAGTGTACTTAGGCAGACAACATGGTTGGACTATGGTAATGGTTGTTTGTTCAAGTAGAAACAAAATAATGGATTGGATTGTCCTGTTGAAAGAGATAGGGAAAATATAGACAGCAATTCTATAGCTGGTCAGCCAGACTCTATGAAGCTTAAAAACAGTTTCTGAGGTGCTAATGAACCAAGTTTATTGTCAGGACTGAAACAACACCATGGCATTCTTGTCACATACAGTGCACAGTCAGTGAATGTTGCTGGGTGAGTGAGTGAGTTGTCTGGTAAGTGTCAGAGTAAGTAAGATGCATGATCATTTACATTTTGAAATGAAATTTTGAAGTTTTCAGTGCATTTCTGTGATAATAACTTTTGTGTTTAATGGATAGTTAACTAGCATAACCATGTTCCAAGTGTGGTCGAGTGAGTGAGTGAGTGTTTTTGTTTATCTGTTGTTTAACACACTCAGCAATGTTCCAGCTATATGACAGTTTTCTGTAAATAACATCACTGACTGACTGACTGAGTTTGGTTTTATGCCGCTTTAGCAATATTCCAGCAACATCACGGCGGGGGACACCAGAAATAGGCTTCACACATTGTACCCATGTGGGGATTCGAACCCGAGTCTTTGGCGAGACGAGCCAACGCTTTAACCACTAGGCTACCCCACCGCCCCTATAACATCACTGACATCATGAGCATCAACCTACACAAATGGTGTACAATAACATGCATGCCTGACTACCAGATCCCGGTAGTCACCTCTTACAACGAAGCATGGGATGCTGAGGACCAATTCTAACCCAGATCTTCACGAACAAGCATGGGATGCTGAATACCAATTCTATCTTCACAGGTAGTGAGTTAGTGAGTTTGACACAATCGAGATTACGACACATCTAGTTCGAGACATCAGGGTGAAACTAATGATAAATATAAGGTAATTGGCAGGAACCGAAAGATGAGTTCGACACAATCGAGAATTCAACTCAACCAAGTTCAAGACATTGGATTTTGACTGTATGTTCATTTCAGAAACTAGATGTGAGTTTAAATCAATCAGTAAGATCACATGACTGATCACATGATAGTTGTTGAGCCTTCTCTGTTGTTCAATCCTGTGTGTGGTACAGTAAATCCATGATGACCAGTTAACATGACACTTCAATTTGGGCAATGTCACTTGAGTTGTATACATAAACCTTTGAGGTAATAATGTTCCATTTAATGGCCTACAACTTAGGGCCTGCAGCTCATTTGACTGAAAGGTCGTTAAACCAACAGCTCATTTGACTGAAAGGTCGTTTAACCAACAGCTCATTTGGTCTATGGCTGTTAAGTGAGTGAGAATGGTTTTACACCGCTTTTAGCAATATTCCAGCAATATCACGGTGGAGGACACCTGAAATGGGCTTCACACATTGTACCCATGTGGGGAATCGAACCCGGGTCTGCGACATGATGAACGAACGCTTTGACCACTTTGCTACCCAATCCCCTCTATGGCTATTAAGGCCTGCACTTTGACAAGAGGCTTGTAACAGCACCTCAATATTCAATCCAAGATAAATCCCTGTAGATATGCATGCTTTACAACAACATAAATAATTCATTAATTTTAACAGCAGGACATAGATCATAATTCCTAAACCAGCTGTCTGTAGAACATAGAAACATCTCAGTAGTTATAGACTCATTTTGCATCTAATTACCAGGTTAAAATGAAGTGAAACGAGAAATTACAAATGCTGGGTCGTTGCTTCAAAAAGATATTTTCACATAGAACACTCACAATTACAAACCAATGTTAAAATCATTTAATAAGCAGGAAATTAATAACAATGATATTTGAATTACATTTAAATATTTACAGAGTTTAATATTCATTAGGATGAATGGAAGGAAACTCCTGTTCACAGCAAATAATTACATGGTAATAAGTTTCGGATTATTCATTATGGACAGGGAAATCTTGAAATGAATGCTTCAAAAAGGGGATTTAATCATGACTGTGGCATTTAAGAACTGACATGAGCTAAGAATTATGCATAAATAATCCATGTTCTTCAACAATGTTCACATAGTTTGACAAGACTCATATGGCTGATACTTCTTGAGTATCTAAATCTCCGTGAGATTCTAAATAATGCAAACTAGGCTTCACAACTGTCAAACATTGAAAAAAATCATTTCACTTTTTAGATTCAAGGCCAACTTAAGTTAGGTAGGTAATTCGATACAAATTTGAAACGAATTTGGTAAAGATATATGAGGTAGAATTTTAAACAATTTTCTTTTATAATTGTAGCATGACACTTCTCAGAAACAATGTTTTAAGTGGTAGGGTGATTTAGGTGGCAAATATGAGATTGTAGCAGCTTACTTGTTGGCATGAGAACCATGAACACTCTGCCTGGTGTAGTGATGCTAAAGACACAAGGAGTTGTCTCCCTTATTCTCCACATGATTTCCTTTAACAAAGTCATAAATCATCATCTTAATCTAATTGACATCCAAAGAACTGAGTGTCTCTATAGAAACACTGATTTAATATTACTAAATAACATTTAAATATTACATGACTGGTTCATAATGTTGATGATGATTGGCAAATAAATGATTGGCAAAAAATGTGAAATAGGAAACCGGTGGAAGGAAGCTGAAAAAATCTTTTATTCATTTCTATGTTTAAATGGATCTATAGATCAAATGTTACATACTGTAAAAACATAACTAAATTCAAACTGGTTCTTTTAAAAAAAAATGATATCATAAGTTAGCAAAAGTCAAGCTTGAGCAAATTGGCAGTCACACTTTGTATAGGTTAAAGTAGGTCTTGACTTGAAAATTGGCAGTGACAGCCAGAAATAGTTAAAGGATGTGGTTTGGTTTGTTTGTTGTTTATTCTATAATGATTTGACCAGCTGGTACAGCATGTGATGATATTTTGACCTGTCCCACCTGATGTCCAGTCACATCTGGACAACGCTGGTGAACAAAATAGCCTACAGCTGTACTCACTGTAAGTAATCCATTTCCTTAAACAGTGATTATACTGCTTCAGGGCTGGTGAGACAAGCAAAGGAGCCAGGCAGTGTAAAATTCAAACCTTGAAACATTCACATTTACAACATCTTGGGGATGAAGAGAAGGTGGGACAATAAACTGAGTCTGATCGGTCAGTAATGTCCTTGACAACTTGACCAGCTGAGCTTGGCATTTATACTTTCATGATAGGGATCAGTATTTTAATAACCCATCTAAAAATGTTAAAAAAACATCATTTGTCCTTAAGCATTTTTTATTTTAAAAAATCATTCAATGGACATGATGGATGTTGTAAAAATAATGTAATGTATTTTAAGCAAAAAAATAATCCTACAGTGGATGATGAATGCTGAAAAAATAATGTACCAGTAA